TTTATTTTGAGAATAATGTCTAATAATGGCGAATTATCATTTTATAATTGTTTCAACCGACTTTTTGATAATGCCAATTACTACTCAGGTATTGGTAGATTTGCGTACACCCCTTTTGATATCTTTATGAGGAGTTTAAAACACTCATCACGCATGATGACATGCTTTGATACAAGAAAATATAATTGCGTTCAAGTTACTTACCAACCGCCGAGCGGAAAAGGTTTTCAATATAAACCCCCCACGCAAGAAAATTTTCAAAAAAAGTTGTCCTTAAAAAATTTTGATTCAAGAAAGATAAGTAAAACCGTCAGTGAAAAAAAAATCGAACATCGTTATCAAATGGACGTGGAAAAATATTCGGGTATATACCCAAGAATATGGGTTAGGAAGTTCGATTGTCATGACGATGCCAGATGTTGTTCAACGCCAGACAACACGAACAAGAATAGTGAAACATGTAATGAGAGCACTCTATCACTAATCGACAAAAATGGGATTATTTCTTTGGACAATTACGACATGCAGAATGATATTGCAAAGGATCCCTTATTTATATGGAAAATAAAGGTCAAAATTTTGACGGACATCAAGAAGAGGATGCTTCAATGTGGATTAGATACTAGCGCATTCAATATACCGAATATTTGATGTAAATAAAGTATGGCTTATCCCTTTAAATCCTGATACATTAATATATAATGTTACAATGTATATTTAAGTATATATTGAAAATATTTATGAGTATTTAGTATATATTTTCTTTTTATTTATCGGGTATGACATTTATAAATTTACCTTAACATAGAATGGGAGATTCTAGCCGTTTATACAATGTTTGTGACTGTCGCATAAAACTTCAAATTAAAATTTTTCCAATTTTAGTTTTAAAGATAAACGCAGAACCGTTCTTTTGATTTAAAATATCATCCATTAATTTTAGGCTGCTAATTAAATTTATTGCTATATTGTGCGGTTGTATAAATCGCGCGTTCAGAGCTGAAACTATGGCACTCGATTTTACACTTAAATCAAATTATACTGCAAATGAAAATCAGGAATCTTAAATCTTAACAAGTTATATTTTTACTTAACTTCCCTAAAAATATCGCGAAATTTACCTCTTAAATTCTCAGAATAAATTAATTTTTTAACGTACAAATACAAAACCTCAATCTGTATTCAGAAATTTGTAAAGGAACGAAAATGGCTTCACTTTTTGCAATGATTCTGATGTGAGACTCTTTAAATATTTTTTGGCAAAATATCGCTAAATGTATCCTAATGAATAAGCTATATAATATTTTGAAATCTACTGAAATTAATAAAATGTTTTAAAAGCTGTCATATTTCTTTTAATTTCTTTCATTTTTTGCTATTAACAGGTCATCAGCATGTTCGTAATTAAAAATATTACTATAACCAAATTATCGGTATTCTCGGGGATGCTGGGTTTGCTGATGACTAATAATCCTATTCTTATCTGGTCTTAGGTACACAGTGTAATTCCTACATTCTTCATTTCATTTGCCGTTCTACGTTATCTTTAGTCTCACAAGAGATAATAGCTATCTTTAACCCAGTCGTTCTTCGCTTTTCACTCAACATGTTTGGTCAATTTAAGTATTCCAAGTATCCCTTTCTTTCATTCACTTTTTAATGCAAGTTAAATGGATATCAAATAGTGCTATATCGAGAAATTTTTCGGAAATCAGTTGCTGCATGAACATCGACTCACCATTTTCCCTAAAAAACATTTATAAGAGAAATATTTCTAACACGCTCCAATCATTCATTCCTTGTATCATTTCATGACAATAAACTTTTGTGCCAAAGTATGGGTATCATTTAACCACGAATTAAGCCAATGCCTTATTATTCTCAAATATTGATATCTTTTCAATTTTAGAAAGGGATTTCTAATTCCTCATTAGATTCTATCATACTTAATGGTGATATTTCGCTTAATTTATCAACGAATGTGAAAACTAACCAATTGCAAAAAAGCCTTAAAGAAAACAGATAGAGTGCCACAATTTCCTTTAAGTAACATGAATATCGATAGTAAAATAAATGGCAGCCGGATCCTAATTTAGAAGCCCACGGTTAGTTCTTGTTTGTTTGATAAAACAATCAGGTAAGAGAGACTCCATCCGTCGATTTAAAGATTTCATTCTAAATTGTGGTTAATTCTATTTAAAATTAATATATTTAGCATAGGGGCAAAAAAACACATTAGATGCATTTTTATTTTATCAATAAACAAAGCAAATTTGTCATCTGAGAGAAATTCCATGCAAATCAATATACTTACAGCAGCACTCTCAGGTATTTTCTAGGTTTATCCGGACCTTGAATTTTTTAAAAAAAATCTACAACATTCTAAGATTATTTCTTTTTACAAGATTTCCTAATCAAAAAAAGGAAAGGGTCGGATTAAAAAAGGAAAGGGTCGGATTAAAAGAGGAAAATGTCCGGTTAAACATATAATAGATATTATGGTAGCTAAGCAATAACTATAGAGGCAACTCATAACTAAATTAAAGGCATCGAATCATTTTATTTTTAGAAATAGTAATTATTTTATTGTAATTAATTACTAACGAGTAATTGTAATTAGCGGAGATGCACCTCAGGTCAATACTCGCAGTATCTCTAAGGGACAATAAATAGTTTAACTTAAAAAAATAATAATTAGAAAAAATAATTAAAATTAAATATAAAAAAGTTAAATGAGGTGAAAAAAAAATGGTAAAAAGAATTACCTAAGATAAAAAAAATATTAAAAACATTTAGGGTGGGGGGTGATCTTATCACAAAAAATAAGAAAAAAATTAAAAACTTTAGCTTGAGAAATATCGAAACCATTCTTAATTTTTGAAAATATTTATTTTAAATAGAATAAATAAACGAATAAATAAACGAATAAATAAACGATTCTTTTTAGTGGGACTTATTTTTTTTGAATTAAACTAGTATTAATTTACTTGATCGTAAAATTTACGACCCAATTTTGTGTTCAGGCCTGCTCACGAACCCGGCGTCTGGACCCGACTTTAAAAATATTTAAAAAACGCATGTGACTTTGCCATAATTATCCTCAACAATCAATATGAGGTATTTTTTATATTTTTGAAGTTGTTCATTAATTATTATTTTTTTAGTTAATTACTTAGATAATTTTGTTTTAAGAAAATATTTTTTTATTAAAAATAAAATTAAGATTTTTTTATATTATTGAAGTTAAGTTTATTAATTATTATTTTTCAGCGTTGTTATGAATGTGATGAGGATGACTGATGATGATTTAATATAATATCATTTTGACTATTAAATTAAAAATATTGTTTTACAATAAAACACATTTACTTTTAAAAACTTGAAAGAAAATGTTAAAATATTTTTTTAAAAAAAATTTATATTTTCTACGGCAAACGCTTGAAGATTGAGCCGAGTTAGCTTGTAAGCCATTACCCAATTATATCAGTTACACAAACTTTATAAAAAGTGTAAATTGAAGATTTAATATATTTTGATTTCAGAATAGGCAGGACAAAAAGAGACTTGTTTGTAGCCACCCCCCCCCCCCCCCAGATAAAACGATCCAAAAGTATTCTAAATATCCCATTCAAGCTCAATCTTGCCAAATTTAGAAACCAATGTTATCAAATGTATTTGTCTAACATACATTTCTAAAATTAGAAAAAAAATCAATAATATGTGTTTAAAAAATAGAACTAAAATTAAATAATCCGGCCAGAAAGTTTGTGGTTCGTGCTCAGAGCTAGTTGGCCTTACACAACCAACCAATTAACAACACATATTAAACCTTTTCCTTTTAGGGTAAACCATCACTTTTTTGATTGGTCAATTTCATTTTTCAATCGGATATTTTAGTATGTCAAACGAATCTAACAATAAAGGGAGAATATGATATCTACCCCCCAAAGTTTGCATTTTTTAAACTATCTTTAAGTTTACAAATTTAATAAGACAGATGTTTACTCTTAGAAGAACTAAGATTACTCACAAACCCCTAAGGAGTGGAAGATATGGATGTAGCTATCGACATATGCTGCAGATAGAAATTATATGAGGTTGGGAAATAGGGATTTCTGGATTTTTATAGTGTTTGTCATCTCATCTTTCTATGGATGCTAACTTGGATTTTCCATTAAAAATTGGTTATAGCTAATGTATTCTAAAAATCACATCTTAAAACTTTTAAGATTTAACCATTGTTTTAGATTTTGCAGATCTATGGCGGTGCAATTAGATTAGTTAGAAGAGGGGTGTATTATTAACTTTTACTTAGATTAATATATTTTAGTCTAATTTTTAGTATTAAAAATTCGAGAATGATGTTTTTAAAGATAATAAATTCAAAATCAGATATATTTTCATGTATAAAGCTTTAGGGGTTATATTGCTTATATTTGTATTATTCTCAGTGTCAGGGTCCACACTGATATCTTTTAATGAAATTTGAAGGGATGTTTAGTCACAATGTCAATTTCTATCTTTCTCATTTGTTTTGTCATAACCCTTTAGGGTTAGGGTTACTTTTAGTTCTTCTGCTAGCAGCTTTAGTACATGTTGATACACCTTCCTTATTGTTTACCTTGGTTATTGTAAAAACTTACATAGGAGGCTCCTGTACTCCTGTGTTTTGTTTCATAATCGAATAATAAAATAAATTTAAAAAAAATGCATATATTCTATGAATAACCTTTTTGTCATAAACTAATTTATCCTCATTTTTTTTTAGATATTAGAAATTAATATAATGAAGAAAAGAAGTACTCATTTCAAACACAATAATTTATTGATTTTTCCAGATACAATAATTAAATACAAATAAAATATATTAGAGATTAGCAATCATATAAAACAAAATATAATGCATATTTTTTTTAGATAAAATTTAAAGTTTTAGTAACATTGATGTTCGTCATATATATTTTTGGTTATAATTATAAATTATCTGTATCGACATAAATAACAAATATTGGTCATTAGATTTACTAGTTATATTTATAAATACAAATAAAATTATATTGTTATGAGATAAACAAAATAAAATTTGTCTAAAATATTACAAAAAAAAATTCATAATACATTATTTTAAGGATAAAATTATGAGTATGAAACGAAATTGAACAATATAAATCGAATATATTTAGACGCATTAAAAAAGTTTATTAATATTATTATCTAGCCGCTTTGATTCACTTTTATTTCCATAAAACTTATAAATACAAGATTCTACCTTGTTTTGTAAAAATTTATTTTTAAAAAATGGCTATAAATAAAATTTGTAATATTTTTATGAAACCCAGAAAGCTTAAGTCTTTCCAAAATCCCTTTTCATAAAAAATTTAGATTAAAATTATTTTGTCATTTTCTTAAAAAAATAATTAGTAACTTATTATTCTAATATAACCGATTCTACATTAAAGATTTCATGCCTTGAGATTCGAATTCTGCCCAAGCGTCATTTAGTTCGATAAATATTAATTTGGCCATTTTTTCTTGTGGGGTGCCGCTGAGCTGTATAAATGCATTTTTTAAAAATATTTATATCAGCTGTTTTTTTATTATACGAGATATATTTTTTTTTAAAAATCAAATCATATCTATACCTATGTAAGTAAATAAAATTCCTAATTACTTAATCTATTAAAGGTCAAATTTAATCATATTATAATATTGCCGGTTGAATATTATAGTGTTCTATATTTATTTTTTTATAATTTTTCAGAACATTTTTAAATTTCATAATGCTCAACCGAAGATTTATATTTTTTTTAAAAAACTTTATCTGGGTGAACGCATAAGATAGCTTTCCTAAACACCTTTTTGACTTGATCGCCAGTCACTAATTGATGTATGCCGACCTCGTTCCATCGCGTTTCTCCTTCCCATAATACGTTGTGTAAGGAAGACAGAAGGGCCCTTATATTTTTGCGCTTACCTACGATCCAATCCAGCACCTTTAAAATATAATATGTTTTTAAAAGTGAGTAAAAAAATTACTAACTTTGATTAGAATTATTCAATATTATAATTTATATATTTTTAAAAAAAAGTAAAAGAAAATTGTTAACTATCATATAATATCAGCTGTTTTTAATGGTTAATTTAATTTAGTTCTATGTATTTGTCAATGGTAATAATGTCAGTTGTCATCAAGTATAAATATTATTAATTATGAAAAAAAAGAATGAAAGTGAAACATTTTCAATAAAAATACAATTTTTAAAATTATAATAAAATAACAGTTTGGAATCGGAACCAGAACCGAGCCCAAATTACCGGAAGTGGCGCAAATTTAGGAACTGGAAACTAAAACCCATTTTAATTTTTTTTAGACAGTTCTAATAAAAGTGAAAATGTTGTGATTCATTTTAAAGGATTTATTTATTTCTTTAAATTTGATTGCCTTCACAGTTTGAAAAAGAAACTGAAACTTTGGAAACAGCATCAAATTTAAAATTTCCCTACTTTTCAAAATTTTAAGAGCTAGAACCCTTTTTAGACCAGGTTCCAAATCTCGCAAAATACAAGAGCAAAAATATAAAAACCTTAATCTCCTCGGGGTCGGCATTGGCGTTTATTAATAAATTTTGCTTCTTGAGCTGACTAAGAGTAGCCGTATTACGTTTATAACCGGGTTGTGGGTGGCTACTTTGACTATTATTTATATTGTATTGTAAATTCGAAGGAGCAAAGCCCTGACTCTCGAGAATATCTTCAAAATCTAAGGTCTTCGTCTTGACATTATCGAAATTTTTGGAGGATTTGGAAGGCTTACATGATTGGTTTTTATTAACAGATGGATTTGTTGGGGGTTGAGGGAGTGTATCATTAAGAAGATTTGGTGGTGGCTAGATATTTTAGGTTGGTTGGAAAAAGGAGAAGAGAATATAAGGGTAATGATATAGAAAAAAAATTAATAGGCGCAGTCAATAATTTTACTTGAATTAAATGTTAATAAATTCGTAATAATTATATATTATCATATTTTCCTTAATTTTTTTGCTTTTTAGAAATTATTTAAAAACCTTTCCTATTCAACGTCAACCTAGATCAGTGCTGGCAATGATAAACACAGCATTCTTGAAAATCTAAACCTAATTACAATTGTTTACCACTTGAATCATCCAATAAAATGAATAAACCCTTATATAAGACATTAATCAAGTATATTTAAAACAATATTATCCTGCTAAATTTGACTATTTTATCAGATGGGGGAGGGGATTAGTAAACACTTAGTTGAGATAATAAATTTTTGTCTATATTTGATAACTTTTAAAGCTAAATATTAATTTAACTCAAGTTCTAAGCCAACTCTTACATATCACTTATAAACCATGATATAAATTCACATTAAATCAATTTCAATACTCGCGATGATGACTCGAGGAAAAGCATTCCAGAAATGATTCTCTTAACCTCAGAACAATATAAATCACGCATATTTAAAATACTGTCATTGAGACCAAATTAGCTTTAACCTTCTCCTATAATAGTCAAATTTAGCAGGAATTTTTAAAAAATACTCGATTAATGTCTTATAAATGTGGCCAAATCATATATTAACTAGACATGGGTTTTATACTGTGGTTTTCTAGTGATTTCTAAAAAAACAAAAAAAAAATAAGTAAAATATGACAATAAATAAGTAACATTTTTAAATGTAGTAAATTGATTTATAAAATTAACAAACTCACATTTAATGAATGATGAATCTAGTATATGTGATAACGGGATGGAAATCTCTCGATTTAAAATCATTTACTAAGAGTGTAAATTTGAAAAATCTGATTTGAAAACTTATTTTGCATGTATTGTTTCAGATAAATTTCGCCGTAAACATTTGTGCATCAATTTATATGAAAAAAAATCTATATAATTAATATACATTAAGAGTAGTTCCAAACTAAGTGAAAAGATTAAGAAAACTCATAGGACAAGGTATTTCATCTGTACATATTGGAATAAATTTTCGGTCAAAAGTTTTTTCAAATTTAAAAATCGCAATCACTGGATCTCTCAATTATAATTCATTTTATAAGAGCGATAATTTAAATTTTATTTGAGCAGAAATGTATTGCAACATATAGCCTGGACACTGGGTATTTCAAACAATTTTGCGGGACTTTTGAAGTATTTTTTTAGTTTCCATCCATTTTTATATAGAAAAAAATGGAATCAAAAGTTTATGGCGAAAATTGTTTGAAATTAAGATAGGTATATTTTTCTCACTCTGAATTTTTATATTTGAACATATCCTTCAGTAAATAGAGATTTCGAACAGCAAGAATTCCATATTAAAATATGAGCATTATATTAAATATTCTTAAAAATTATTAACATTAATAATATAATTATATAATATATCAATTTATAAAAATATAAATAAATATCATTAAATAATCTTGGTTTTCATATGAAAAGACAACTCAATTTAATGTATAAATTCCATATAAACAAAAATATATCAATATTTTTTTTAAAAAAAATCCAAACTTTGGCCTCAATAGGTGGCTTAACATTGCAGGAGAGATTTTGTGAATTCGATTCTGCTAAAGATTCGAAAGGGTCCAAAGATAAAAAATCCATTTTCTGAACCCCCTTATTTTTGAAATTTGCATTGATCTTTGATTTGTCTTGTAATGAGTGATCATGACTATCACCAAAATTCAAGTTTTTTAATTGGAATATCGAACCGGTGGACAGAGGAATGCTAGGCTTATGATGAGGAACGTCGGAGACATCTTTGAGATCGGCCATATTTACAAATTTATAAAAATATATTTTTAAAACTTTAGAATACGACAAGATTAGATGTGCGTATTTAATTTAGAGTTATGCTGCACTTATAGTAAGCGCGATTCCCACAAGAGATGTGGAATTCTTCGTTATATTAGGTATAAACTATAAATACTGAGCGAAATGATGAAATCGCGACATCTGTTTATGTATATTTCGAGCAATATTATTTCTCTGATTTCGCTAGCAATTAATTTCGCATCGCTCGAGTGAATCGCGTTCACTAAAAAACGCAGCATAAGGGTAAAATTAACTTTATAAAAAATACATACCATCAATTATTAACAGTGGTTCTGATTTGATAGGTAGAATATCATTTTTGAGGGTCGAAGAGGCGACATCATGGTCAAAATTGTTAGCAAATTCGGAATTTAGTAAATTGCATAATATATATTTTTTTTTTAATTGTATATAATATTAGTATTGATTTAACGTGTACTTGCCATTTAAAAAAAATGATATTTCCATAAAACATTTGTTTTCACTGTTAAATATCCTTGAGTGCCGAATGCCACAAACACATAAGGCACATATAATTTTTCCTATCTCGTATTTTTTATGTTATAATGAATAATTTTGTGGTGACAACTTTTCACGAAATATTACAATTTAAGTTATAGGCCAAAATAATATTGGTTAGAAGTATCTTTTTATCAATTGAGTCTGCGGATTAAAATTTTGGTAAATATTTTAATTTAAAATAGATATGTCAAAAAAAAATCTCATTAAACAACCCTTTGGCACTAACCATATATACATCAAATACCCCATTTTCTGTTATAGATAAATATTGGAAATTATTTGTCAAATAAGTTCATCTATTAATTTTTTATAAATTATTATTTCACAGCAAATATATTAACCCTCGATATTATGGGAATAATAAATCACTCAGAAATATCAGAATCTATTATAGCCATAAACAACTGGGTCACAACTAAATATAAATATTGTCAATCTAGCAGATTACGGAAGCCGAAGATGTATGGAAGATAGTTGGAATTTGGAAGAATGTTAATTATATTTACCTCTTAACCTAGTGGTTGAGGGGGGGGGGAGGACTTCTTTTAAATCTTAATAGTGCCGCCATAATTACTTAGGGGATTTTAATTTCAGATACTTACAGCATTTTTTAATATGGTTAGACGTCTTTGCTGTATTGCAATATTTACATATTTTAATGAATCCTTTTTAGTATTAGAACAAGAACTTTTTAAATTTATCAAAATATTCCATTTTGGGCGTGGTAACTAAATAAATAAATTTAGTAAATAATTTATATACTTTTTAGTTAACTTCAACAAAATTTGATTTTTATGTAAATATGCTAACACTTAATTAATTTATATAACTATTTATCTTATCACATATAAATATACTGTCAAAATATCTTCTATTAGAATGCTATTTATTAAGATTAAACTTCTTAATCTTTAAAATAATAAATTATCATAATAAATGAAAAAAAAATCGGGGATTTCCCTAATATTCCCGAAAACTATCTGGCTATTTTGATCTCTAACTTCTTTTTTTCTGAAATCGAGCGAATAATAATTAAACTAACCTTCTTTCTCTATTCGTTCAGAGTGCACCTCTTCATCTTCTTTATCATCGCTATCGTAAAATATGGAATTACTGATAGGGTTAATAGTCTCGCTTTGATTTTCGGTATTGTGGGCAATAGAATCTGTTGTGGTATAGTCTGTGAAGCCAATAGCAGTCCCGTTAGAAGAATAAGAAAATTTGCGTCTTCCTTTTTTTTGTATTATATAAGATATAGAATAAATTTAAATATATTTATATATTATGTTTAAAGATAAAGCGAGTAATAAAGTGGGGTCCATTCAACCCCTATAATTATAGAGTATACAAATTTTGAAAAACCCGTCAATAGTTATTATCTTTGATCGGCTAACTCTTATATGGATATTTTTTGCCGAATGTGATAGTTCTCTATGGAGTCATCAATACTGCTAGAAATTCTCTTGTTCACTCTTTTTTTAAATAATGGAAGAAAAAGGTAGTATAGTATTTTGATGACTCATTTTCGGCTTTTTAAAAAGAGAAATTGTTGAGAAAATTTTCAAGTAAAACAGGGGTCACCATGAAGAACTTGCACATTAAAAAAAATATCCATATAAATATTTGACTGGAACACACACAGTATCAATCAAAATCACGGGTTCATGCCCAAATAATAAAAAAATTAAATCTTTTTATGTTTGAGATCATACCATAATTCAGAATTATATCCTGATATTCCTTGGCGGTAAAACAGGATATATCGGAGTTCAAGTTGGACTTATCTTCCACGCTAATCCTGGCCCAAGGATTATGCTCAATCACTGTGGTTTCGCCAAAATTTTGATCGCTTTCGTAATTTATAACCACCTGAAAGTGAGAAGGAAATTTGTCCAAGCTCTCATACGTATCTATATCGTTTCTTAGGTAGGAGATATGTTTATATATAAATTACAATTTAATATTTTATGTAATAGTAATTTATTTAGACTAAGTTATTTTTTATATTTATTTTATATTACGTATATAAATTTTATGAAATATACCATTACAATTTTAATGTCATATGATCCACCGACCTTGGCATCATGCAAGCGTTCAATTGAAATTCAAAAATTTTTATGGCATCCAACTAAATTAATTTTATTTAAAAATACCCATATAATGAGAAAGGAAATTAAAATGATTGGTGAAAAAAAAAATTCTTTATTAATTATAATATAACTTTAAAAAGTATAATAATCAGCCGACTATTTAATTTTGTAAGGATAGTTTTCTTTTGCTATCAAATATAAAAAAAAATATGTAAAAAATTATTTATTACCTTAGTTGCAAAAGACGTTGATTTGGCGTGATAAACGCAAACCAAAAAATCAGAACTAATTACCGCGCTAATATTTAGATGAATAATTTCCTCTTGATACGAATAGGATCTGGGAAGATAAACAAATAAAATGAGTCATTTTAGACAGGGATGTGAACCCGGACCCTGAACCCTCGTATTTTGGCTGAACCCGAACCCGGACCCTTTTAAAAAGTGGAGGGTTCAAGGGTTCAGAGTAAAAATTTTAACATATAAATTTTTTTTTAAATAATGTAAAAATATTATTTTTAAAAAATAATATAAAATTTTTATAATTTTATTAATTTTTTTCGTGGAATCATTTATTTTATATTCGCGCTTTTCTTTTGATTTTCTTCCTAAACTTCATTTCATTTTATTTAGAGATTGATACCATAAATTATTTTCTAGTGTAAGTAATAATATTTTATTATGTAAATTTATTAATATGCTTTTTGCCTAAAAAAAAGCATTCATATTCAAATGTCTGAGGAGAATTTGATGAATGCTTTAGTTGAGCTTGTTACAATAAATGGAAGACCTTTCAATATTATTGAGGATTCCGGTTTAAAAAAATTATTGATCCTATTAGTAAGGCAATTGGAACATCAATTAACCGTTTATTAAGGACTTAGTGGTTGATGAATCGAAAAAATGCAAGCAAAAATTATAAAAGAAACAAAAAACAAATTAATTTCATTAAAAATGGATTCCGCCCAAAGATTAGGGAAAAATATTTTAGGAATAAATATACAATATATTAAAGGAAATAATATAATCTTAAGAAATTTAGCAATGAAGGAGATTAAAGAAAGTTCAACTTCTGAAAATATAAAAAGAATGATAATAGAAACTTTAAATAAATTCCATATTCCTTTAAGAAATGTTTATACCATTACTACGGATAATGGTGCTAATCTAGTCAAATCTATTAAATTATTAAATGAATGTTCATTGGACGAAATGGATGATATAGATATAAATAATGATGATAATAATTTTGAGGACATAAGTGAATTTGACATACCAGAGATAATAAAAGATTTTTCCACGAAGATATACTGTATCAGATGTGCAGCCCACACACTACAATTAACTATTAATGATTCCCTCAAAAATAATATCTTTAAAACTATAATTGACAAAGCAAGGGATGTTGCAAAATATTTAAGAACTCCTACAATTGTACGAGTATTAAAATCCATGAAAGGCAAATGGCAATATTAGATTGCACAACCCGTTGGTCCTCTATCTGTATGATGCTAGAGCGATTAATAAGTTTAAAAGATTTCTGTGATGATTTTATTATAGGATCATGTGAAATCATTTTGTCAGAGGATGATTGAAATCAAATCAAAGACCTTACTAGGGTGTTGGTTCCTTTGAAAATTACTACATTATGATTGCAGTCAGAACAGTTGTGTTTATCCGATTTTTATGGCATATGAGTGGAGATGTCGATTAGAATTAGAAAAATTTACAAGTTCCTTTTCATACGAAATATTAGAAAACATGAAAATACGAGAGCAACAATATTTGAAAAATAGTGTTGTGTATGCCTCAATATATTTAGATCCTCGATATCAAGTTCTATTAAGTATTGAGCAAAAGCAAATGGCAATAGACCATCTCGACGATTTATGGCATAACCATAACTCTATTATTAACAATATATTGGAGGCTTCAACATCTAATGGTTGTAGCGATAGTAATGATGATAGTAATATTGACGATCTCGAAATATTATTAGATAGAGAAAAAAAAATAAAATTATCATCAGGATCAGATAGAAAGGTGAAAAAAATATCGATTGTATCTTTAATTGAAAAATTCTCAGAAGTTAAGAGAATTAATAGGGATAAAAATATTTTAACATTCTGAGAGGAAAATTCTCTAATATATCCTGAATTGTATACCTTGTCTAGATTCGTCATGGCTGTACCGGCGACACAGGTACAATAATTTATATATTATAAAGATAACTATCTATTTTAGGTCAGCGTAGAACGTGGATTTTCTTCTTTGAAATACATATTGTCTAATTAATGTGGAAATCTCAAGGATGATATTTTAGAAGATATTATGATCGTTCGATTGAATAAAATATTTAAAATTTAAATTATTTCATTTTGAATTATGAATGTGTATATATATTGAAGTATAATAAAAATGAATGAAAAAAAAGTCTTATTTTGAGTCATTATTTTTATGTTCCCTGGACCCGGGTCCTTTAAAAATTTATTACAGGACCCGAACCCGGACCCTTTTTTTTTGTTGAAGGGTTCACATCCCTGATTTTAGAGTTCTAACCTCGTCGTGATATCATTTTCATTATATGAAAGTTTTAGTATGAAAATTTAATTGTCTAAAATTAGTATAAATAATTCCATAACTTGTGTAGTAAATTGGAATCATTAATTTTATTTAATTTTAATATTTTTTTAAAAAAAATATGCAAAATACAATTAAATTAATCATACCGTAAGGAATCTATTTCGGTTAAAGAGGTAAAGATTTTGACGTCTCCTGACCAGATCTCAACGAAGGGTCTGCATCCGGTTCTGAAAAAATTGAGTATTCAAAATAGTATATAAAAAACGATTTTTTTTATATTAAAACATATAAGAAAAGGTATTTTAATAAAAAATAAATTAGGCGCAAATTATAATTAAACTTCCTATTTCCGTATTATTTTTTAAAATAAAATAAATAGTTAGATTAGATTTAATTATTTATTATTCCTTGTTATGCAAAAATTTATAAGTTTGTTAAAATATAAGAATTGATGTTAATAAAACGTTTTTTTTAATTATGTAAATTCCTAGCTAACAAACATTATAGATTTCCTTATCCATTTTAATATCAAAAAAAAAGTATTATTATTAAAGGCTTTTAATAGTCATTCGTATATTATTCATGGCATAAACCTGCATTCACATACAGCATAGAATACAAAAATAGAGCGTATTTCGTATAATTTGCTGAGAATTCGCGCTAACTATGAATGAGGGGTAACGGAGGACTGCTGCTTCCACCCCCTTAATGGCTAGAGAGGCCCAGCAAAATAAAATGGAGGACAACAAATAAAATTTATAAAAGGAAGTTAGGAGGCCCCAAAAATATTTTTTCCCGCGTGAGGGGCATTTTGAAGTACATCTAGCTATAATGAAAGTTTTAAAACAGTTAGAAATAGTCTTAATTGGTAGGTATTTTAAAACCCTGTGGGTCTAAAAAATCTACTAAACCAGCTTTGAGCAGTGACTCTGAGCTAAAAGAAAGAGACCCGGAACAAAAACTCTTAAAATATTTTTTGTTGACCTTAGGAATGTATATAATATTTAATATAAATGGCTCAAAATATCTATTCAATAGGAGACCACGCGCTCTCGATGGGCGAATCTATGGCTGGGGGGGGGGGGGGTCACGAACATTTTTATCAATGTAAAATATTGATATGGATATCAAATAAAAGGCATTTTTATTATATCTTGATTGTAATCATAATTATTATTATAAGTGGGAGGGCCTATGACCTGAGGGGTTAGGAATATTTTTATCAACAAAAAATATTGATATGGGTAATAAAAGGTAATTTAATTATATTTTCATTGTAATCTTACTTATTATTCAAAGTGGGAGGGTCTAGGTCTTGGGGGTCAGTACTCAGGAATATTTTTATCAATATAAAATATCGATATGGTTATAAAATATAAGATAATTATCATATCTTTTTTATAAATGATGAATATAATTTCATTACATGTATTACAGCTATATATCAAAAACCTGCAGGTCCAGTCTTCCTAATTTTTTTTAAAATTACACCCAGACCAGGGCGGGACTAAAAAATTAAAAATATTTACATAATATTTTTTTAAAATATCGATTTATTTTTATAAATACAATATATTATACTAGCTGATAGCCAGTCAAGAATGATGTGGAACAGAATTTTCTCTTTATATATACAAATACAAATAAATAAATATTTCGTTGAAAAGATTTTTTTATTGTGCACATAAATTAAAGGTTGCAAATATATTTAAATATATAGTTATTACAAAAATATAGTCCAAAAGGGGCTAAAATATATGCGTTACTACAAAAAAATATATTCCAAAAGGAGCTTTTAAGATGCCTAAAAATATGTCCAATAACTTTTTTATTTGTCCTCTTAAAAATGAAATTTTTTAACCATAAAAGTAAAAGCATTACTTGAAACAAATATTATGGACAAAAAACCCAAATTATGCAATGAAAGATGATTTATTCTGTGTATGGACGTAATATTGAATATTTGGATTAGAACCTCTAGAAGAATTGAAATGTTTCCAATAGATGGAAAAAATGTTCCAAAGTGTTATAAGTCTATAGATTTTTTGAAAAATAAAAATATATTAAATGAGTCAAGTTGTTCGACCAATCATGCCATTCATCGTTTATTACAAGTAAAAGAATTTGAAATATACAAAACTTCTTCACCAAAAATGGTCGAAATAATTTTCTGATTTTGGAATCTTTGAATAACATAGTGAACATCTGATTATAGCTATCCTCAATTTTGCTATACCAACTCATAATGCTAACGTTGAAAGAATCTTTTCTTTAATCAACAATCAATGGACAAATGAGAGAAATAGATTCTCCGTGATATTTAAAAAAAAAATTATATGCATGCAATACAATTTTAGATCGTTTTGTGCCAAGATTTCTATAATTTTTTAGAGAAAAGACCAAAACGAAAAATATCTGCAAATGAGAAATAAAGTTATATGAATTTATTCTATTTTTTAATGTTTATTTATATATAAATGCAATAAATATCAATCAAATTATTTAAATTTATTTAAATGTCTTATTTAAATTATGTATACACTAAGGAAGATCTGGGAATTGTATCTAAAAGGGACCTATAAATATTTGTTTCATAAAAATTAAACATTTGAAATAATGGGCCATGATGGAAAATGCCAAAAACGGATCTGACTGGATTTAAAAATCAATAATAAGTTGAGAAATAAATAATCATAGCCACAAAATAACGAAAAATTAATTATAAAAATGGTTTAATATATAGAGTAAATTGTAAAAAAAACTGAAAAATCCTTCCCCCAATTAATTAAGCATACAATTTAAACAGGAATTCGTAATGTTTTTTTAAAATTAAAAACGTAACGCAAAAGCTCAATTTGTTCGCACTATTATTTATAATTTTATCCCTGAACTCAGACCGAACTCTGTTTCTCTGTCGAGGGGGTTAACATCCGTGAATTATTAGCATATGTGTAAAATTGATAATATTTTATCATTTATTTAATATCTGTGTTGATGTCTAAGTTTGTCAATCATATACAGATGATAAATATATTACCATTTATAATTAACTATGACAGTAATCCATCCATCCCAAATGTTGGTAAAATGCTTGGTCACAAAAATCACGGACCCGATTTTGTGCTCGGGCCTCCTCTGCTCTAGCATCAAATTGGTTCGTAATTTTTACGACCATGCAAATTAACAACACAAATTAGGAACATGGACTTCCGGTTCATGAAAATGTTTAGAGAAGAATTTCGGGTCCTGGTTTTTAGATTTGTCCCGAGTATCAAATTCATCGAATATCTTTTTCAAAATCATTTATTATATTTTTTTTTGTTTAAACTTGGATTTGTTGAAGAAGGGTACGTGACTTAAAACGAGGCTTTTGAGAAGGATGGGCGAATCTTGGTACAACGTGAACCTATTATGAGACTCCATTAACTGGTAAACGTATTGGAAATATCTGCGTTTGTAGCGTGTTTTAAAATTTTCAAATGCTGGTATAAAATATATAAAAACCTAACAAATCAAAATTATATTTTCATTGAAAAAATCTTCAAAACCTCTGATGGGAATGTGAAAGCATAGGGTCACACCTACGACTTGTATAAAATTTCGTAGCAGCTATAGAACAGTTAAAAAGGTGACTGTAAGCTGAAAAGGCTAGGAATGACATGGCTGTATTGCTTTTATCTTCGTCCTTTGTAATTTAATATATTATTAGTTTAGTTCATAAATGAATATATTTTCGGATTTAACAACGATTTTCATCAATTGATAATTTTTTTGGTGGGGAGGATTTACAGCCGGATGTTCTTTTTGGCAAAAGCTCAATAGTTGCTTGTTACAACCCGAATTGATCTTTGCATTAAATTAGCCACCAGAACCGGGGAAAAGTGTGGGAAGTCTAAATAATTTTGTCTTGCTCAATCTCAAATAAAATATATCTCTTGATTCTTAAAACCAAAGCGCCAATCAAAACGTATATATATAGCATATAAAATCCTGAAAGGTAAAAGTAGACTTTCAAAAGTTGTTGTATCCACGCTATCACTTCAAAATTTAAAAACATTTCAAAAAACGCAGGATATTTTGTTTCTTAATAAATAATTTAAAATGCAAAACTGAAATGTTTCCAATTTAAACGAATGCGTGTGAAATGCATTGTCGCGTTTAACGCTGTGTTGAAACGTTCAATTAGAGCGCACTATTAAATATTATAACACTGGTCTCTATTTTAAACCTGCTTAGTGGTAGATTCTACCATTTATGAAATTATTCAAGACATCAGCTTTAATACATGATACTAAAAATATAAAATTTACCATGGAATGTATAACGCAAATATTTTTAGTGTGCGCTAGAAGCCATAAATGCATGTGATAACACAGTTCGAATAAGGAATTCAGGGCGGGAACGCGGAACGATTTCCAATGACAATTTTTCACCTTCACGGCGCATTCGTATATTTTATTTAAAAGTGTGAATGGTAATTAGGCAATAGGATAAATAGAGATATATAAATATTGATGCGATATCGATGTATATTAAAATGATATAGAATGTGTAATATAATAATTTAGTTATTTTTTCGTCTTATATGTATGATTTGCATGAAGAATTTATTTTGACCAAGGTTTTTTTTTAAAGATAATTTATATTTATTGTTAATATTAGGCATGTAAATGAATTTTTATATTTTTATTTATTAATTTGGAAAATTTTTAAATATGTAAATGAGAAAAAAGAACGAAAAAAAAATAATTCGGATTAGAATATTATTTTTTTACTTTTTGTAATATAATTTATATTTTTTTACTTTTATTTTTTGGTAAATCACTAAAACTCGGGGAAATATTTAATTTTATTTTTTTTTAACATTTTTTTTATTAAAAAATAATAAATATACGATCGTGTAAATATTGGTTGAAATTTATTTTTGTGAAAATTTTCACAATTCTTTGATTTTACAATAAAAACGGAGTATATTATTTTAAAATTTTTAAAAAGTTAGGACTATTAAATCAAATACTGGATAATTAATCAATTTATTTGAATAAACATAATATATAAACAATGATAATATTAATCGTTTTTATGATTATTCGATTTTTGCTACTCATACTATAACCAATATTTATTTATTTTTTCTAAATTCATGGATTAGAACAATTTAATAAATTCGCATTTTATAATATAAACCTCGTCAACATTTTATGCATTAAAATATTATATTCTTTTCAAAAAATAAAATATAAATTTCTAAAAAAACCCTCTTTTGAAATAACTCTGATGGATAGTGCCTGTCTTTGGATAAATTGTAAACCGCATAATGTTGATTATGAGCTAGGTCCAGGTAATTTCTAAGCTCCTTCACGCAAACAAAAAACAATTCTTCTTTCGGATCGTGAGGTATTGACATGACTTTGTACACAAAATAAGCATTTATTTAGAAATTTTTATAGATAAAAAATATGTTTATTTCTTTCTTTGTAACCTTCATCTTTCTTTTTTACCTTCTTAATAAACATTAGGATACGGAAATGTAACCCGTCCACGATATTTCTAACATCATTCTAAATTTGACATGCCAAAATTCGAAAAACTTTACATGACCGAAAAACAATTGCAAATTATAAGATTCTTAGGACTGGAAATCAAAATGCCAAAAACGAGGGGAGGCGTTATATACTAGTATTAATGTCAGAAAAATAAACTATTTTATAAAATTTAAGATTACTATGTAACTGTTTCATCTTAAGAAGAAAAATTTTCGCCAGGTAATAGGATAAATTATGTATTTTTTAATAAAAGAGCAGAAAATATACTGTAGAGAAGTTTAGATTAGTTGAATCTTATTTAAATATCAGACCCACCTCAAACTAAGCCAAATTGACTTGATTATGCCTGTCAACACAAACATAAAAAATAGGTTAAGCTTAAAGACTACATTGAATTCACAGCTGTTGCGGAATATTATTTCGCAAAATGGTGTTCACAAATGGACCTTAGGTTTGCATTAATGCAAACATTGGTTGTATTTAAATGTTGCCTAAACCCCATAACATATAATATACCATAAATTAATTTAATTTTGAATAATTACTTGCAATACGAGAGGTTATAAACCATATATCTAAACCGGGCTTAGAGCTAAAATAGGTATAATAAAATAAATATTTTTATAAGTTTAGCAAAGTTTTAAAACTTAAATATAACAAAAATAATGTTTAAAAAAACCCAAAATTTTGGTTAGCCATAGATTGAATGACTTTGTTTGATGTTTCTTTAATATTTTTGAAGATTGTGCCGGACGTTTGTCTTAGTGCAGTGAGTAAATTGTTTGAATTGGTATTAACTCCATTATTAAAAGAATTGCAATAATTATTATCGATTGTATTGTTGGGTAGACAATTGTTATTTTGTTTGATAACTTGAATAAATTTAAATTTCATATAAAATAATTTAAATCAAGCTTACATACCAATAAAAAAAATTTTATAAAATATCTATCAGATAAAATCTTTGAATATCATCGAAATGTGTCTCAATTTGTAATAAATGATATTTTCATCATAATTGAAATTGATCATTAGTATTAATTTTTGTAGAAAAATTGGGCTCGTTAAAGCGTGAATTCAACCTATGGGATAATAAACATATTTACCGTGATTTCTATTCGCGTAATTAGTGTGTATCGTTTCGTCATTCTCTTTGCTTGAATTCTCATTTAAGATGTTACCATTATCATTTAGATTCTTTCCTTCATTGTGTCTTTCTTTCCGCTTGTGTTTTGAGGAGTACCTATGATCGGCGGCGCGATCAATTTTATCAGCGTGGGCCATTTTGAAATCCCCGTTCCCGGTCAGAATATTGATCTCTTCGTAAGATTTTTCCAGGGAATCAATATTTTGGTCGTTGAAATTGAGTTTGGATTCAGGGTCGATTTTGAGCTTGCACGCTATCGTGATGAGTTTGTCAATGAGAGTTAAAATGTCTGGTCTGTCAAGGGGATCCCCAGTTATAATGTTTTCTTCATTTTTTGAGGAGTGAGTGGGGGGGGGGGGGCAAATATGATAAACTTTTTAAAAAGTATTTTGTGTGATGCTGATAGAGACTGCCTTAGAACTAAAAGAATGAATATCGCTAACGACACCAGTGGTGTATGTTTAGGTTTTAACAAGTTGATGTATGCTTTCTTTTATATGGACGATTACTAACTTAATATTGGATTCTTGCTTGCATAAAATTTCCTATATTTCTCTTTCTAATGCTTGCAAAAAAAATTGACAACCAACCCATAGTTTATTTTTGCTATGATAAAACTTTTTAACATAATAGTAAATTTTCTTGGACATACTAAGGATTTGATGAAAAATAGAATATTTCGTATCGGTTTCTGGAATGCTATAATTACAATACAATATGCGTAGCTTAGCTGAATCTTCGAAGGGATGTTTACCAAAACATAGCAAATATAACAAACAACCTAATGCCTAAAATAATTATTTAAATTGTTGTATAATCATTACAAATAAATAAAGATGGTACTATAAATCCCTATTAGGTAGGTCTTTTCCTTGCCTAAAAATTCTATTAAAAAATGCTTATCAAAATGCGCCCCTGTTCTATGTTCTTAAATTGACATCGGAAGTTTTAAAATATATTTTTAGTCATTATATACCCATATATCGGCTTTTTCATTGATAGGATGATTAGAATATAGATCCAGCATCTCAGGTGCTCTATACATAGGAGTCGTATGTTTTGCTATCTAGTTTGTTTTTTTAAATTTATGAGAGAATTTTTAATTGCAAATTATCCTAGTAGAATAAAAATTTAATTGCTTGAATAGCAAAATCAATTGATTGAATGATATGAAATGGCTTTCTATTATCTTTTTTATTTTCATATGAAAAGCTGGGGGGAAACTTTCTCGTACTAAATAAATTAACAGTGTTAGGATATACGTTTTAAAATCGAACTTTCCTATATCGATATATAGATAATTTTAAAGGAGCGTGCATTTCGAACCCGTTTTTATATAAATAAACGATATAATGAATTTGTAAGAAAATTATTAAATAATGTGAGAGTGCAATGGTAACCTTTCACGGGATTTACAAATTTAGCCGTGTAACAAATCTCCATTTTGAATATGAAAAATAAAATGAATGTAAACTTCTTCTTCCGCCATCCCTCGTTGAATTGACGTCCAATCAGGGTCGGGGTAATAACCTTGGAGAGTAGAGCTTCCAAAATCGCAGAGCTTTATTTTACCGTCTCTACCTACCAAAAGATTTTCTAACTGCAAATTAATTTTATTTATTTAAATAAAATTTTGTTTGCTAATTTTTGCTTGAAAGATTCGAAAAATCAAAAATATATCTTATAGCATTTTAGAGATAATGAGTTATAAAAAGATGCATATTATGGTTTATTATAGGTTAATGGTCAAGTTTAGAAAATGTTCAAATTAGTTAGGGTTATTATAAAATAATTCCACTCCATCTAGATTTTTTTTTATAGGAATTAATTTTGCTCTTAAAAATAAACATTTGTTTGAAATAAACGATAAACAAGGGAAAATTTACACCTTTATATCCCTGTGTATGATTGGGGGATTTTGGGCGTGCATGTGCTGAACCGCCTTGCAAGTTTGGTAAAATATTTTACAAACCTCCCTGATAGGCAAACCGGACGGTGAAATATTAGTAGTGTTATTATTATTTATAACATTGTTGATGGTAGGCTGATTATCGATATTGGGAATTCTGACCGAATTTTTATTCGTGGGAACTGTATTAATATTAACGGTAGTATTGCTGCCGCTCGAGGGAAAATTGTTGAAAGGGAACACGGAGGGTGTTGATGGATAAGAGGAGGAAAGGTGTGGTAAAGTACCGGTAGAGAGCGGGGCGTACAAGCTCATCAACGATTTACCTGCAATGAATGTAAATTTAGAGTATCTATAAAAAAAAAATTACAACAAAAATGGGGAAGTAAAATGTATAATTATATCACTCATTATCAGAATTGTTAAATGATGGATACATTTATTTCTAAATACTTAGAGATCTAAATATATTTAAAGTAATCGTCTATCAACTCTGATTTTAACCAGCCCGCATGATTTGCAGAATGGTGATAATTTAGCGATTTAATAAGAATGCCGTTCTTACTTTTTTACGAAAAATAGGCATTTATTTTTTATTAAGTAGCGTTTTTTTTTACTGTACTTTTCAAATTTAATTCTTTTTTTATAAAATGCATTTATAAAACTTTATTATCAAGCCAAGTTTTCGCAGATAAAAAAAATACCCAGAAAAAGTTTTTATACTTAAACCTTCATAATTTTCTTCTTTTTTTCCATATTTATAACTTCAATTTCTTTCGAAATTTTATCCGGAGTCGAGATTTTTTAAATTAATATTTAATCTTAGTTAAATTAAAATATCCCACTATATTTAATTTTATTTCTTAGGGAGTTTATATAATATAATTGCTAATAATCGTTTCAGACTTTATTATTCAAGCCCAGACTTCAACGTAAAGAATTAGTTGTTACAATTAAGAAAATTTGGGATACCAGATAACTGGTGTAGGCCCATTTTACAAGTTTTTCTTTTAAAAATTATAAATAGATAAAAACTTTGACACAGCTCCATTAATAGAATGAATTCATCCTTGCCATTCTCGGACAATCTTTTGTCAATATGAGCGGCTTCGTAAAACTTGATGATATTGGGATGGTCATTCAATTTACGCTTTAAAAAAACAAAATAGTTTCAATATAATAATTTTTGTTTATGACATCGTCGATCGATACCCGTGTTGTTAAATCACCTTGTTTTTCGATTGTTTTTAAATAAAAAGGGTTAAATAAAGATTTCCGCCAAAAATATATTATATAAGTCTCGAGATTTCGCTAAAAATGGCACGAGGTGATTAAACAACATTAAATAATGAAAGATTATCAAAAACCTAGCAAAGATTTAAGTGATTTGAATAGAAGTTCTAGCATTCAAATTTCGATATAGCATGCTAACCCCCCCCCCTCCCCAAAACACTTTCAAAATCTTCTTAAATTCCTATCCACAAAATGTTTCTATATTGACCAGCGCCTTTACTAATTGTCCAATAAAAACGTAACGAGGAAAGGTTATCAACAACATGTTAAAAAATAATGTGTAATTCGATATTTACCATAATTTCGATTTCCCTTTTTATTGATCGACTAGTTTCAGTATCTAACGCGAATAGTCTCTATATATAGAATTATCATATATAAATATATTTTCACAAAAAAAAAGATAAGAAATATTAAATCATTTAATCCAAAAAAATAGTTTAATTAAATTTGATAAAATTTTAGGTGTAATAAGGGGTGAGGGTGGGAGGTAGATAAAATTTGATATAAAATTAATTATTAATTTTGTCTAGCTACGTTTTAATCGTTGACAGACTGTGAAATTTTTGCGCATGCTCAAATCAAATCAAATCTGAACGAATATTAAATAACACATTCTTAGGGTGGGTAAAAATTCCATGGGAAAAGAAGGGGAGGGAGGTGAATGTATTTGTATTTACTTTTAACGCATATTCGGTTCCTGTTTGGATATCTTGAGCACAAAACACGTAAGAGAAACCACCTGTAAATAATTGGGAATATAATTAATAATTTTAAAAAATACTGATCATTTAAAAACTGCCAAAATAAAAAAATGGCAAAATATTTATTATTTTAAATTAGCCTGATCCTATAAAATACTTAATTCTAAAAAAATTAAACGACTACTCATATTCTGGCAAACAAAATATACTACTCTAAAATCTATAAATATATTAGGACTCGCTTCTAATCTTCTTCTTTTTAGGTAAAGTTCTATTCCAAAAAAAATAGTTTTAGATTATCTGGCTCGGTCCATCCGAATTCAAATATCCGAAACAATTTCCGGCCCGGTTTAATCTTATTTTGCGCAAACAGGATTCGAATAGGTTTGTGAAGGATTCTAAAAAAATATATTATATATTTGAGAAATTTTCCCAGCAGAATTTTAAAAAATCGATTTCCATGCCCAACATTTTGAGCGAAAGGTCATAAAATTGAACTTTTTTTAAAGAAATCAAAGACATTTTTTTTTTTGAAAAAAAATTGTGATTTCATCAATAAAAATCGCAAAAGTTTATTTATAAAACTTTAATTTTGCCAAAATTCCTGTTTGAGCATTCTTAAAAAATCTTCATTTTAAAAAATTTCTGAGGATTTTTAATTTTGAAGAGGATTTCAATTTCTGGTTCTCAATGAATGCTCTAACGTATTTATTTATATAAACAATATAAAGGTAAATGATTTCAAATTTCTATTTAAAAAAATTAAAGGGTAAATATACTATAATTATAGTATATTGAATTGGAATCACGAAAAGAAATGTCCTGGACTAAAGTAGCGCGGACAAGAAGTCACTGGTAGATAAATACCCACGGAAAATACCCCAATTTTCAAAAATAAAATAAAGGCTTTAAAAAGTTGACAATTTTTTTAAAATACCCCCTTTTTAAAGCATCGAAACAATTTTCTAAATTGTGGTATTTTTGTCTGGTGTCTTTTAGCCCGGGGTACTTTTGTCCCGGTGATTTTTATCCATCTATTCGTGATTCATTAAATTGAATGTGTCAAACGATAGAATTTCTTAGCATTATAAATAGTGGGCCCAGTATTCTATAAGGCTGGATTTATATTGGGAACCTGTCCGACATGATTTAACATTTGATCGATTTTAAAAACCTGTTTACGATATCAATTTTTCTTTATTAGTATTAATTTTATCTTTAACTCATTCACGATAATAATTTAAGAATTATTGATTTTAATAAAGAAAAATAGATTTTAATAAAGAAAAATTGATCTTATAAACAGATAAATCGATCAGCAGTTAAATCGTGTCGGATTTAATCCCAATGTGAATCCAACCTAATCCATATTTTAGGAAAAAAAATTCCGACTATTAAATTCTTTGATTTTTGGTACACTAATTATTTTTTATATCAACAATAAAAATCTGGTTAAAAAATAATGATTTTCATTAAATTATCTAAATGGTTTTGAATTGGAAGTTTTTGATGACGTATTTAAGGGAGAGGCGGCAAAAAAATTTCATGGATTAGGAAACACGATAAATAGTATAAAATCCAATAATTTTGCTCGATTTTATATAATATATAAATATTATTTTATATCAAATAAAATCGATGGTTTGTATTTTTTTTTGTCGTAATTACTTTGCGTTTATGCCTAAATCCTATTGGCCTGATCTGAAGCCAGTAATTCAACAAGATGAGAAAAAAAAGAAGTATTTAATTTACATATTAAATTAGTTCCATTAAGGTAAAGAAAATATATTAGACTGGTGGAGAGAAATCAAGCTTTAAGTAAATTAGCCAAATAAATATGATTCGTCTTTCCAACTGCCGGCATTTTTATAAAAGAAAAATGCGCCTTAATCCTGGTACTATATATTATATACTAGCTAAATATAAGAAGAAATCATGTACAAAACTGATTGCAGAATATTTAAATTTAAATGTACATTATTATAAGTTTAAAAAAAATTCCATTTACCTTTTTCAGAGACATCATATTACTTTTTTTAAAAAGAATATAGTATCTTCCTTCAATCTAATTAGCAATGAAAATGAAATTTTTTTTAAAAAAATCACTATTCCTATGAAACTATGTAACTAAAGCATCATCTATAACGCGAATTGTTCAAGCGATGCTGTATTTAAAGCTATCGAAATAACAGCTAGTTCTTCGCAATCATTTTTGAAATGTACATCCGCAACATATTTGTTTTCAAATATTGTTATAGCGTTTTCATCGTTTTTTTATTATAAAAACGGTAATGACTAGCAAAAAAACAAATCCATTGAAGATGATGAACTCTACGACAAATCAATAAAAGGTCGGCTGAGTATTATAGTGTTCCATGTCCATTTTTTTTTATTCGTTTAGGGGAGCATTTTAAAAAATATATATTTCTTGTATTTAAAATAGGAGATCACAATGTAATAACGCTATTATAAAGGATCATTCTAAATTATATTTTAGCAATTTTATTGTGGAAATATAAATAGGTTTACTAAAGAATTCATTTATCAAAAAAAGTGGATATAGAAAACTAAAATACTCGGCAGACGAATTTCTGTCTGTCCTCTTCAGATTTTTTAAGAAAAATATGTAAAAAATTTATATTTCAAACTCATTCAGGGGCCGAGATATGGGCGCTCAAATTAGAAAATTTTATCAAATATGTTTTTAATTTTGAAATGAAAATATCTCTGGAAGTTGTTGAGCTAACTAGCATAGTTATGATGCACAAGGGAATAAATGGCGGCGCAATTTCTCTCTTATAGGATATTTAAATAACTTCTAATATTTCAAGTTAAAGACAGAAAATTTGGACTTGATTATTCATTCTATAATGTATATTCTGGGGAAAAATAATTAATAAAATTTAACTTAAAATTTTGCGAGATATTTTACAAAAAAAATTATATTTCTAAGAGCAATATTTAAAGTTTGCCTCATATAATATCGACACTGAAAGAGAATTTTAAAAAATCAATATCTATAATAATCCATCATAAAATAAACGATTTTTATTTTAGGGGGGCTATAAATTAAAATTATTACGAACAAAGAGATCATTATTTCAGGTCAAAATTTATTATAAAATTAATAGTTTAATTATCCAATCTCTTTCTTTTCTATTATGTTATAAATGTTATGCCTTTAAATTTAATTATTCGGCAAAATTAAATATGATATGAAAAAGATTATAAAATCTTTCAGTAAATTGAATTATTAAACTGACTTTTAAAAATCACGTATAGCAAATAATTTTTTCATTATTTCTTGTCGTCCTTTTGGCTCTAGATTTTCTGAAAATTTTTTTTTGTATTTCTATTAATTTTTTTACTTTGTGAATAGTCAATGGGGAAAAAGATGAAAGGGGTGATAAATAAATTTTTCTTATAGGTTAAGGACCTGGTCGTGCCAATATTTATTTATGTTGTTACGGCGGCCTAGCAGAACGTTAAGGTGTACGGATAATTCCATAGTAAATGAGCAAGAAAATAACATTTTCGACCGACCCCATTCAATTTTTTTAATTGGGAAGCAGAGAAATCATTATTTAAGAGCATGTTTGATAAAAAAAAATAAAAACAATATACCGTAGTGAGTAGTAAATAATCATGTCAAATTTGATGGCCTTAAACTTTAGTAGTTTTAAAGTTATTTAGGATAAAATGATATTTGACCGTTGATGTCCGTCTACATGAATCATAACTTTAAAATCTGTCAAATCACTATTCTAATTTTTTTTATACAAATGTACCTTGATCGATTTGCTTATTTATAAAATAAAACAAAGGATAAAAAAAGTATGATTACTATTTATATCATTTCCTACCGTCCGGTATTTTTTCGATTAATATTTTTTCGAAAATTGAGCTATTATTTTATAATACCAGAATATATTGGAATGAATATTCTAGCTTAACTACATCTAGAGATATTTGAATTTTTAAATTCAAGAATTTTATAAATTTTGCACTTTGCAAGAGCAACCATATCTTGGCTCCTTGATAATAAAATCTAGAATTTTATAAGTCTTGACAATTTTTTTTTAAATTCTGAAAGGGGCAGGCCGAAACTCTTGTTGATTTGTAAATTCCATTACATATATTCAATTATAGTCAACAATCTTTCCTTATAGGGTACAAACTACTAAAACTAGAAATATTAGGATTGCTAAATTTTGGGATTGATAAAGTACAGGTATATCTAAAGACAGCATCTCATATAATAAAATAAATGGAAACATAGCATACAAAGTAATTATGAAATAAAAAGCATGAATAAATTTAACCAGTTGTAGGTTATAAATAGATTTTCAATAAAAAACATGAAAATTTTTCCCAATCAAAGATTCTATGACCAGGCAATATTCTAAACAAGTGTTAACTACCTCGATTCAGCCTATTTTAAAAAAAGGTTAAATATTACCTAAGCCTAGAAATTTACCAAAAAAGGGCTAAAACGTTCTATGTTTGGCGAAATCTCGATGGCTAGGTAATATTTGATTGACAAAATTCTGATTTAGCAGTTGTTTTATATCATCTAAATCGAGATTTTTATAACAGTTGTCAAAACTATTTTCGTATATGCAAGAACTATCATTCAAACATTTATAAGCGTATATCAAAGTTATAACGTGAGTGCAACTATGGGGGAAAAAAAAGATATGGTTAAAAATTAATAAAAGATCGATATCCTAAATACTATATTTTCGTTGCGTATTATATTATAAGGATCTACAAAGGGTGGGATTTAGCCACTCGCACACGTCCGTCTATCGGGCGGGTTGAAATTTTTAAACATTGGTTGGGAAGGTTTAAAAAAATATTCTTAAAACAATGGAAGGATGGAAGAGTAAATTTGAAATATTTCTAGCGAAATGAACAGGACTAACTTATTCATAATTTATTAAAAATTATTTATTTTTTTTATAACTGCATATATTATAAGTCTAAGTAAAAAATATATTAAAATAAATAAACCAATCAAATAATTTATAAGTATTGGGTGCCGGTTAAGCATTGGGTATGGGTTAAATAATACTTTTAGATAAACTGATTAGAGGCAATTTTTTTTAAAAAACAATCCTCAGGGAGGCAAGTGGGTTAAAAAACAATGCAGACGTCTATTCATTTTCAAAATTTAGTTTTAAATTTAAATCAATTAATTATGACATCTGAACGAAATTTTGTAACAAAATTGTAACTGTACAGTCAGGAACTTAATAACCTTTTTTGGATTGGTAAAAAGGGTGTTTGATGGACATAAGTATTCAAAACTTTAAATCAAATTTTATATCTTACAATTAAAACAATTTATATGAAACTAAAACAATTTATATGCAAATATTTTAATAATAATAATTTTTAAAATAATAGTATGTCGAGCTGAACTAACTATTTTCCATATCTATCCATTTCAATTCTTATGATTCTTGATATTGATAATATTGTCACATAAGCCTTATCAAGAAATAAAGATATGATTATTTATATTTCTTGAAAGGTATAAAAAAATTCTGTTGAATAATAAAAAATTACATCAAGTTAAGTATGGTGGATGATTTCAAGTGACATCTGAAGTTATAGAGAAGAAATAGAAAAAATTATTATCAGATGTTATTAGTGAGAAATAATAGATGAATTTGGCAAAGATCTATATAAGGCTATAATTCCATCTTAATTAAAATGTTTATATTATAATATACTATGTATAGATAAAAAAGATGGAATTCTAAAGGAATACCTAGTGGATTTATTGTTAATACTTTCTAATTAACCTTGGAGAACAGTCTATATTAGAGTTTGATTAGGATGCGAAAAATGAGATTTTTTTAAAAAAAATTATTATTAAAATGGCAATTTTTTTATTATATAAAAAAAATATTGAAAATGAAATGTTAAGATTTTTTTGTGAAATGTAAAAGGGCACAAAAAAGAAGATATGACCTCTTTTTTTAACTGAAATTGCCAAATTGCCTAAGAGATTTAAATGGATATTAAAATGATACTAACATGGTATCAACCAATACAAATAATATTATCATCTTTAGTCTATTATTTATATCTAGATAACTTTTTAGAAGCTGTATCTGTATATAGATAAATTTTTAGACTATGTATCAGTATCTGTATCTAAATCCATTTAAAAAGTATCTTTTAACAACTCTGGAGAGCACTTTCTTTCTTTTTTATCATTTTATAAATTTTTATGATTTTTTTTATGATATTCATATCATAATGTTAGCATTTTATTTGCAAATAAATTGCAAAAATATGGAAGCATTTTTCATAAAATTTGAACAACACTGTAGACCATATAACAAATTTAATTATTTTCAAGTTTTTAAGCTAAGAAAACACAATAAACAATATTTATTTTTTATAAAATGATATCGCATAGGTTCTAAATCATTAAAATAAAAAATTAGGAATATTTTGTTCTCATGTATCCTTATAATTTCTAAAATAATATTGATAAGTAGCAGCATAACCAAGGGGAGTTGTGATGGTGGTGGAAGGGGGGGGGGGGAGTGCTATCACAAATTTGGTTGTTCTCATAAATATTATTTAAAGCTAATAAAATCTCCTCTCTACCCCCACCCCTTTTTCAATAAATATGTATACAATATATCATTAATAAGAAAAATTCCAACATTTGCATTTTTATAAAAAAATATGTAAAATCCCTAATTATTTTTTATAAAAGTATAATATAGCTAAAGCCCTAAAATAAGTGAACTAAAAGACCTCAAATAAAATTTATGGTGAAGAAACCAGCCTAACACTGTTTCCCCCCACTATAGGAAAAACCTGATATGCTTATGCTGATAAGATAGAGAAATGTACTTATATTTTAGTCATTAAAATGGGGGAAGTTCCTTTTAACAATTTTTTAAAAACTTAAATGAAATAAATCCTTTTTATGATGAAAATCATTTTGGGTTTGATGATGATATTGCAACAATTATTACAATATTGATTAAAAAATATTTAAAGATATTAGATCAGTAAAATTCAGAATATAATATTTTATTTTTTATACAAATCAAATATTGAGTCGATTTATAGCAACTACTACTCTCATCATAATTTTATCAGAATTTATAGGTTGTTAAAAAAATGAGTAATATAACAATGAGTGTATAGAGCAAACACACTATTATCATTTATTTCTATTACAATTTAAAATAATATTATTCATATTAATCAATATAATTAAAAAATATAAAACCTTCAGCAATTAAGTATTTGACTCTATATTTAGCTTTTCCCATGTCAATTATTTGTCCAATAAATTCATTCTCACTAGACTTATATTCCCCACTCAGAAACCCAAGAGCAGATTTAAAGATAGTAGCCATCTATCTCTTTTATCTATGTTCACAATACATTTTTTAAGATTTTGATACTGAATAAACGTTAATCAATTTAATAAATAAACGGTATTATGCTAAAAACTGATCGAGTGACAACATATACGTCTCTGACATTCCTATGACTGACATCCGATCATATGGTATTGATATCAAAATTTTAAATCAGTCAAGAAGCAGATAATATTCCTTTTAAACAATTAGATTTCAACACAAAAATAATAATTAATACAAATTACATTAACTTTTATAATAAATGTAACAATCTAAAAAAACTGATGGTTAGTAAGAAATTTTAATTAAATATAAAAAATTAAAAGTTCAAAAAGTAAAATAATGTATTCCAAAATAAAAAAGCACAAGTATGAAACTTAAAATTTTTATCTCAAAAAAATGTAATTTTCTCTAAAATTACATACACCATCTTTTCCAAGAATATAAAAATTATTTTAATACTCATCTCATTATAACATCCTTCACTTAATTAGACCAACAAGCAAATTTCCCTTCGATCTCTGTTTTATTAATCTTGTATCTCCACCACACTAACACTAGTCTTATTCCTTATCCTATAAATTATTTTAATCAGATCTTTGGTTAATCTTTTGTGTCTTCTAAGTTATAACGATTGTTGTTCTTTGTCGATAATTCATAGATACTAACGACTACCTGTATCAAATTACCGTTTATTTTATTTACAATTTTTATTTTTTTTATTAACATAACTGCTCACATTCTTGTTAGCTCTTATTACTTGCCTACCTCTGGTATGATTAACGCTCTATCTTTGTAAACGATTGACGATTGTAATCAATTAACAATTAATTCTAGTCTCTTTATGTACTTTTGTTTCTTCTAGTGCTTGCATGGAATTCTTAAATTATTCTAGCTCCTGTTGCATGTTTCTAACTATCTCTTATAAATAAGTAGCTCCTTATCTCTGTAACCTATTGACGATAACTGGTAAACAATTAACGATTTTGTAAACAATTCATGAATTCTAGTAAGCGATTAACGAATTCTTATAACCGTATCGATCGCTTGTCAGCTAACAATTTGCTATAACTGTAAAGATCTCTTGACGAAAACGATCCCTTAGACCATCTACTGTAACATATGATCTCTTGAAATAATAACTAATGATCTTAAATTTCAATGTCTTCTACAACAGTTTGCTTTTGCCGAGCTATCGATTCTATTATTTCTTTATTCTAACTTAATGTCTTTTGTCTTAATGGCTAAGTCCTTTCATCAATTTACATCACCTAACTTCTTTCACAATTTATACCAAAAAATTATATTAATATGTCAAATACTACTATCCCTTTATTCTCATTAACCTAGTTTATTAAACCATCAAGCTGAATTTTAATTTAAATACCTCTTTGTACCGAAAAATTTTTTTATTCTTAAATTTATACCAAAAATATGTTTTATCTTTGTTGTGTCTGCGCATTTATTGCATAATACTTTATGAACCTTTGTACGCCCATGTTTTTCATGTGCTTTACTCTTAAACTAGTTGAAACAACAGAAATATATTTTTATGTAATCATTATTTAGCTCAGTCGTTGAAATAATCTATTCCATTTTAATAATTATAATTTTCGCACTGTTTCAAAATAAGAAGTAATAGCTTTGTTAGTAAGATATATTTAAAAGGATGAAAGGTCTAAGCAAGTTTTATGATTAATAGATATATAATTATGAATAATCAGACCAGTCTTCCTTTTCATATTGAAAAAATATAATATTCAAACTAAGTCCCATCAATCCATACACTAATTCTTACTTGGGAAAGCTATGATAGTGCTTCAAATATGAATGTATGGATGAATGAATGAAATACAGGCTTTGATTAAAGCTGAGGCCCCAAAGGCAGCTTTTCCTAGGTGCTATTTTATATTAAACTTAATCTGTTCAATTATGACAATCGATAAGAGAACTAAAAAATGTTTTAGGGATCTTAAACAAGATCCATGCATATTTCAATGCTGTTAAAAGATAGGAAGTACTCAAAGCATATTAATATATCGACAGATATCAACTACTTTGAGACATCAAGAATACCACTCGGCATATTTTCTTTACATTAAAAATTTATTTTTTCAAGATAAGGTTCCTATCACTTGATATGTCGGAATAGACATTTCTTAGGATGTTATCGAGAATATGCCAATTTTACCATTTAAATATGAGTCAAGTTTTAAAGAATATCTGTTTCGAAATGTTTATGATGACTAAAATACCATTATTACATATGACCGGATGTTAAAGAATCTAAAGGCTCGAGATAGCTTTTTCTTCTGACTTATGATTCAGAGTGGAAAAAATATACGTTTTATTTTACCTTATCAACTTTGTAATTTTTCTGTTTTTCCTAATTTATCAAAATTATAGTAATATTAATTAACTAGTCCCACTAGTTTTTTATAAGTTACAATATGGCTTATTGTTGATTGGCAAAATAAAGAAAGTGATGATAAATTATATTTATTTTTAAAAGAAAATTATATAGGATTTAAATTAGGGATGTGCCGATATTTTATATCGGATCGGGCCGATGTTTCACCCATTTTAAAATATCGATTATCGGCCAATATTATAAAATTTTCCGATCCGATCTAAAATGGCGTCTTTAACAAAAATAAAATGTAATAAAATTTTTTTAAGTTAGATTTAAAATCATTTATTTTTACAAATAAATTCGAATTATATATATTTTTTAATAATAATTAATTAACCTTCTGCCATATTGTTATTTTTTTGCGCATTCTGTTTATAAAAGTGTGCGATAATCTCTTCAGAATCTCTTAGTGAAACTAATGATATTGACAGTTACCATCGCCGCAGGCTGACCTCTGATAAATTTGAAATTTTGGTATTTCTAAAATGAAATCTTCGATATATTAATGTTAAATATTATTTTAATTATCTATTTCAAATTTATAATATTTTGTTTATTACTTATTATTTATATAGATTAATGTTATATAAAAGTGATTTAACAATAAAAATATTTTATAATACAAAATTAGATATATCGGATCGGTAATCGGCCAGTATCAGTATAATATCAAGAATATCGGATCAGCCTCCAAAAAGTGGTATCAGTTACACCCTTAATTTAAATAATATATTATTCGATTTTTCGATATTATTTTGTGAGATTATAAGTTGTATTATGTTTAAATTCAAATATAAAATGAAAACAAAATTTTTAAGAAATAAGATTGTAATTGATAATTAGTTATTTTTAGAAATTTGTTAGAAAGAAAATTGAGTTTAAGAAATTAATAAGTTGTGACTAAGTGTAAGTCTGTTAAACCCACTACCTTATGTACTGGCCAATGAAATATAATATCTATGTCATTGGTATTGCCAAGAGTTTTGAGCAAAATTAAAGTCATTTTAACAAGACTTTGTATATCATTAAAATTTAACAATTTTATCAATGAAAAAATAAAATTTTATGAATGAAAAAAAAAATTATAAATTCTTTCATTTATTTTTTCATACTATGTACAAAGATTATTACAAAAAAAATATTTTTCAAATTTATATGCTTTTTTGGATGGGGAAGGGGGTGTATTCTGTTTCTATTACTCATGGACCACTGAGCTAGCTACATTGTTATATTAGATCATTACATAATATTTTAACATAAACCATCATTCTGCCAATTGAACTATAAATCAGAGACCTGCATGCCTGGTCCTAAGCCCAGATACATGGGCTAGGCTATATTTTAATTTTTATAATATATTCAAGCTATTCCAAAAAAAATTTTAAAAAAATATCCAGGCCAGGCCATATATTCTCTGATCAAATATTTTAAATCGCCATAAAAATCAAAAATAAATTTTTAAAAAATCTGGGCCAAGTCTAAAAATTTTTTTAAAAAAACCCAGGCCAGGTCTAAAATTTTTTTTTAACAGATCTCTAATAAAAATTATGTGGAATATGAAATAAAATTGGTAGGAAATTTCATTAAAAAGATATGCTTCAAATTTTTCTAATAGTGTCCATTTAATTTAATATTTTTTCAGCAACAAATATTAAAGAATGTTTTATTAATTGGTAGTTAATTAGATTTAGGTATAAAGGTATTTAAAATAATGTATCAGTAACATTACAGATGTACCAGATCATGTCTGGATCTTCACTATTTAGAACCAACCAGATCTTTTTTAAATAATCTTGAGTTAAGAATTTCATATTTTGTAACTACACCACATGTAAATATAACGTGAAATTATAAAGTAAATAGGTTAACAATTTTCATATTTTGCAACCACGCCACATGTATATATGGAAAGTTAATAAAACCCCAATTTATAAAAATGATACAATAATATCTTAGTCAAAACAATTATGCCTCAAAATTTAGTAAGAGATCTATCCTGCTAAAATCTCAATCATCCGCATTATTTTTTAAAATCAACCCAATGATGCTTTTTAACATCCTTATACATATATGCCATTGTTGATTTAGTAAATCAAATATATTTTTACTGAATTATCAGTTTAAAAAATAAATTTGATACATTATTTACTTATATATAATTAAAAATATAACATTATATAAGCAGAGGGTTATGAAGGAGTTTCATTATTCAATTTACTTACAAAAAAAATATTATGTTTGTTGATAATATGCACATAAATAAATATTTGGCAGCAATGATACTTTCATAAATTTTATTATAAATTTATGATTATAATAATAAATATAAAAAATAATTTATCTATTAATCATTTAAACAGAATCAAGAACTGGAGGTTCATAATTATCTGGCCTATCAATAACATGACCCTTTTCATCGACTGTTACTTCAGTAGAATCACCAGAGCCTTCCCCATGTATTTCCATCAATTTTGCAACTAAAATAATATTATTATAATTAATAAGATGTATTTGTTCAAAAAGTAATCAGATATTTAATAAATCGCTTTTGGAACATTATATCTCATCGAAAATAATATTTCTAAGATTCGGCCTCCAATTCATCATTTAAAAATTATTTATAATATAAATTTAATTTACGATCAAATTTTGGTCTTTTCAATACTTTGACTTTACGTATGTGAACTTCATTTAAAGGGTAAATTCGGCTGGAAGATTTTTCAATAGCTTTAGCAATACTATCTGGTATTCTAAAATAAATGATAATATTTACTTAAGGCAGCAAAGAATATTACAATTTTTTCACAACTTCTTTAAGATCAGTTGAAGATACCTCTCTGGTCATGATTTCAACCATCTTCTTTCTAATATTTACAACCTAAAATAAATAATTATATTTCAATAAATATTTATTTTTAAACCTGAGAGTGTTGAGCATAACTTGTTTTCTTTTGTTGACCATTAGCTCTTTTGGTAAATCCAATTGCAAATAGTCTTAAAAGGTAACCATCAGTTGTTTTAACATCAACATAGGCCTCAATTAATGTCTTGAAATATTAATTGCTTTTTTATAAATTTATTATAAATAACCTGCCATTTTTTAACAATTGAACATAGTTTGTCCCTGGTCATATCCATTCCACAAAAATTTGTTAGTATATTACGTCCTTGTATATCTTCAGCTAAAAGCTTAATTTTTTTATGCCCATATTCGTCATTACTTAAATCTGCTAAACTAATTTCAAAGACTCTTCCTTTTAGACTATCTGTTGATATTTCTGTAATTTTAAAAGAATGTTAGCAAATTGAAATATAACTTTGTAATAATACAAAATATGTGGAACTTTACTAATTTTATTGCCTTAATCCTTTTTAATATTATAAAATATAAAAAATGGAATATTGGCTATTAAATATTGAATTTACTTGTTCCTTGAGTTCGAGTGACTAAGGTTTTACCAACTTGTCTAGTAGTAAACATATTGGGAGCTTTAATATCATACCATTCTTTTTTAGTAAAAGGATCTACACTATAATTATAATGCAAATACATATACATAAATAATAATTACATTTTCTTTTTAACACCTTTTTTGCCACTTTTAGTTAATCGTTTATTTTTACCAACAGCCATGTTTCAGTAAGAAGTAAGTGAGTTGATGATATGGAATTTTTTGAAAATTATTTTAGATATTTAACATTTAATAATATTATAATATAGTGTAAAATTTATTAGATAAATTTCTATAAATTTAATATTAGTTATTAAGAGAACTTATAATTTTATTTAACATTATTAAGTCTAACATAATTTTTAAAACAAGAATGATCGATATTTATTAAATAATTTTATATGTTTTATTTATACATTTGGGCTCTCCCATTGGTGAGGCAGTAAATTCTTTTTTTTAGCGATATGGACGATATATTTGAAAATTAATACACATTCTTTCCTGTCCCTCCTTTCACATGGCCTTTTTTTAATTAGGAATTTCTTCAATATCCCTAAAATTCTCTACGCCCTACGATAGAGACCATTATTTTTAGAGAGGTTGCATCTGTTAAGATTTGAAACCAGAACAAGAGTAATTATTAGTGATTGCTCAAATATCAAGTTCACGGACATTGCTTGGCATCAAGCAACACTTCCTTCCAAACATGGCTGACTTTGTATAAGGTCCCCACTGTCGATCTCAATATGCGTGTTCATTGCTAGCCACCTTCAGGCACCTAAACTAATTGACCAACATCTGTCAGTCAACGATTCCATTTTGAATAATCCTAGGACGGAGTGGGCAAAATCCGTGACAACCACAACAATATTTCCGATATGATCTCTGTAAAATAGAATGATTGGGATCTACCACTTGTGAAAAACTCCGTTATTTACCTTTTTCGAGTCTTTCACCTTTGGCTAGATCCACATTCATTGAACTTATCAAGGATCGGTATGAATTTTTAGATGTTATTCCATCTAGCTACCTTAAACTTGAATTAGACAATCACGAGCTCAACAATGCTTTATGTAATAGTCTCAACATTCCTTTTTCATTAACATATAAATGCATCAAATGTCATACTAATGATGACAATTGCATCCTTTACTTTGCCATCGGAATCTCGGTCGGCAAACTCGGCACTCGAGGTGCAAACAAATCATAATTTCCTACCTCATTGGAGCCTTCTGGTCTCTTTCCCGCCCGATGGTAGTCGTCCTGTCAGAGGAAACGACATGGTCACAAGAAAAGTTTCTAATATGGGATTTTTCTTGTTTGGATACGAACTCCCCTTCCAATCTTAACAAAAATGCTCTGAAGGGTTGCCATGTCTCCCCCACTAGCGGGAGATTCTCGCATTTTTTAGTTTACAAGCAGACATCTCTCTCCCGCAAAACTACCGCAATTGGAAATCTCCCGCAAAAATCTACCGCAATTTTTTAATTTCTCCCACAATTTTTTTTTAGTATATTAACGTTTTTAATATATAAATAATAATTTTGAGAGACATTAATTGATTATTTTTATATTTTTTAAATAAATTTTAAATATTTATTCGAAAAACATGTCTAATTTGTAAATTTCATCTTTCCTGTTTTATTTTTATCCAATGATAAATCAACATCATTTTATTTATATATATCAGTACAGGGTAGTATATCAACATCGATTGCAATACAAAAATATTCTTAAAAATAATAAATAATACAGACGCAACTACATTTGCGGAAATCGTATACATCTATCATGTAGTTCAACATTCACTGAGCTATATCCTCACAATGTGGGTCGAATCTTTTCTCATGATATTTAAAGACACCAAAATAAGTGCAAATCTTACTTGTGGTAGAACAAAAATGAGCGCAGATGCATCTAATAAATAAAATATTAAAAGATTTCCCTTGATCCTTCACTATTTCAATAAAAATAAGAACCATTTCAATAAAACTGTTAAAATTTTTTTCCTCGGATAGTGAAAAATCCAACGATCTAACCACATTAATGGTAAATATAGCTATACAGGGTTATCAATGATTTGCATGTCAGCTTTTTCACTGATATGCCTCTGTAAATTTTGGCAAAAAACCAAAGTGTATTTACCGAATTAGGCAGCACAATAATTAATTAATTCCAATTGGCTGTACCATATACTACATAATTCTTGCAAGAAGGCAATGAAATAAATGTACTATTTGTAGATGTAGAAATAATTGTGATGAAATGTTTTAACGAATTTAGTTCATCAACTAAAAGAGTTAATGAATTAAAAGAGTTAGTGGAGTGGTCTGACTTGGAATGGTGTGAGTTGTTGCGATATGTACCTATCAGGTGGTTATCATTAATATCTGCCATCGATGGAATTTTAAAATTTTACAAACCCTTAAAAAAATACTTCTTAAATAAAGATTTTAAAAGCTGTCCAAAAATTTTGAAAATTTTTTTCGAGTAAAAATTGATAATAAATTTTATGGCGCTATTGCTAAAAATATTATATTAAAATGTTTAAATAATACTCTAATTAATACATTTTTAAATGAAGCAGATATTTTTATCAAGACAATTTTAGAATATTTACAATCAAAATTTGATTTTAATAACTCTATTTACAAATGTATAAATATTATGACCTTGGAACAGAAATCATCAATTGATGATTTTTATAATTTAATAAATACATTCGTGTCTTGTTTGAGAAGATTATAATTCTCTCTATTTTTTATGATTCGCCAAAATACTAAAAGCAGAGGAGAAATGGGTAGAATTTTTTCATAAAAACGATAAATCCCCATGTTTGGAAAAAATATACAAGTATGTCTTCTCCCTCATTCTAATGCCTCACCCGAGCGCATTTTTAGCCTGATGAGGACTGCCTGGAAAAAGGAGAGAAATCGGATTGCTTTAACAACATTAGAGGCCGAGCTAATGGTTAAACAAATATATTATGTAACATTTTGAGAATTTAGAAGGATAGGATGATTAGAACCGTTGTCAAATAAAGAAAGGTTAGAACTAAAATGATACTAAATCAGACTAATATCCTAGATTATATATACTTTTCTATAATATTCGTCAAATAAAGAAAGGTTAGAACTAAAATGATACTAAATCTTTATTAAATAATAAGTAGTGTTGTTAAAAAGTCGAGTTCTTACGACTTGCGACTCGAGTCGTAGTCGTAAGAAACGGCTCCGACTCAAGCCGATCAAGGAGCCGAATGAGCCGACTCACTTAGTCGGCTCGCTTAGTCGGCTCGTGTAGTCGGCTCGTTGGGTCTGCTCAATTTTTTTGTTTTTTTATAAAATCTGGTAAATTGCTAAATTTTGGGAAAATGATTAATGTGAATAAAATTATAATAAGAATATGTTGTTTTAGTTTTTCGTATTTTTTTGGCATAAATGGGTTAAAATAAGTATTGCTAAGGCTAACATGTTTAAATAAAATTTTAGTGAAGATGTACCATATATAAGTGACAATTGTCATAATCGTTGTTTTTCGAATTTTTTTGACGTAAATGGACTAAAATAAGCATTGCTAACATGTTTAAATAAAATTTAAGTGAAGATGACCCTAGATAAGTGACAATTGTCATAATCGTTGTTTTTAAAGTTTTTCGAATTTTTTTGACGTAAATGGGCTAAAATAAGCATTGCTAACATGTTTAAATAAAATTTAAGTGAAGATGTACCCTAGATAAGTGACAATTGTCATAATCGTTGTTTTTAAAGTTTTTCGAATTTTTTTGACGTAAATGGGCTAAAATAAGCATTGTTAACATGTTTAAATAAAATTTTAGTGAAGATTTACCACAGATAAGTGACAATTGTCATAATTGTTGTTTTTAAAGTTTTTGGATTTTTTTTGACGTAAATGGGCTAAAATAAGCATTGCTAACATGTTTAAATAAAATTTTAGTGAAGATGTACCACAGATAAGTGACAATTGTAATACTCGTTGTTTTTAAAGTTTTTCGAATTTTTTTGACGTAAATAGGCTAAAATAAGCATTGCTAACATGTTTAAATAAAATTTTAGTGAAGATGTACCACAGATAAGTGACAATTGTCATAATCGTTGTTTTTAAAGTTTTCGAATTTTTTTGACGTAAATGGGCTAAAATAAGCATTGCTAACATGTTTAAATAAAATTTAAGTGAAGATGTACCACTAGATAAGTGACAATTGTCATAATCGTTGTTTTTAAAGTTTTTCGAATCTTTTTTGACGTAAATGGGCTAAAATAAGCATTGCTAACATGTTTAAATAAAATTTAAGTGAAGATGTACCATAGATAAGTGACAATTGTCATAATCGTTGTTTTTAAAGTTTTTCAAAATTTTTTGACGTAAATGGGCTAAAATAAGCATTGCTAACATGTTTAAATAAAATTTTAGTGAAGATGTACTTTAGATACGGTGTTTTTTAAATATCTATTTAATGTATAATATAAATTTGAAATCTAATGGGGCGAAAACAAGGAATCGAACCCGAACCTTGAGGAGAAAACCCGCTAACCAAACCTGGGTAAAAATTTTGCCGGGTTCGCATCCCTGGGCGATAATGTTTTTGCCGCAAAGATTTAATGTCATTTGATTCTATAAAGAATAAAGGAATAACTGATTTTCTAAAGTTTTAAAATTTTTATAAAATGATTATTAAAAAATTAATTGTCTAAGAAATATAAGATAATTATTTCTCGTCAAAATAGAAAATACATAAATGTAAATTGGAGACAGGAAATAGTTGAAAAAAGGAATTAGACCATATAAACAATGTGTTAGAAAAGAGCGCCCAAAAAGATTATAAAAAAAATGTAATTCATTGTTTTATAAATTAAATTCATTAAAAAAACTTTTTAAATAAATTTCGTGTCACCGTCGCTGACAATTTAGTAGGCGGTGGCAAAATCCACACGCCGCAGAACGCCGATGAAAAAATTATAAATCGCCGAGGTTGTAGCGACATCGGCGCACAGGTCTAGATATTATATTAGAAGTAGATTCATCTAATGAAGGTATAGATAATGTGGAAAAGCCGTTTAAATTAAAATTAGTTATTTTAATCAGTTGTTAAAGTAGCGGGCTATCTTTTTGGTAGTGGTAGGTATTAGCATAAAAAATACTACCACTGATAATTTATATTAAAATAAAGGATATTAATATAATAGAAAATCCTACTTTTATGTATATTA